CCGGCCACAGGGCGAAATGTCAGGAAAAACAACCTTCAGAGCACGGCCAAAGAATCCGGAAAACCCACAATAGCTATCAGATCCTGGCCGTGAAAGCCTTCAAGAAAACAAACACTATGTTATTATTTAATATTGCAATAAAAACTATTAAAAATACATAGTATTACCTTCACTATAATTCTGTGTTTTTGAATACATTTGTTTTATGTTCCTACTTTATATCACGACTGTAATGTTAATGTTTTTCTGTACAGAAAACATAGAATAGTCAAAGTTCTCTGGACATCATTAAAATACATAGTATTACCTTCACTATAATTCTGTGTTTTTGAATACATTTGTTTTATGTTCCTACTTTATATCACGACTGTAATGTTAATGTTTTTCTGTACAGAAAACATAGAATAGTCAAAGTTCTCTGGACATCTGGACATAAATACTTTTGAATATTATTCTTGGTACACTACAAAAATGCTTCCTATTCCCTGTTCAGTACTATATTTCTGAGTACAAATGTGTCAGCGTTTGGAACCATAGAAAAGGAATTTAATTTTAAGTCTCATGCAATAGCCCTGATGTAAACTTATATCGCTCAGATTGTATCTTTATAACTAGCACCTTACAATCCTAGGTACAGCTCACATGGACAAGAATTGTATAATTTACCCATTCCAACACTTTTGCTCGGTTTGTTCTCCATGCTGAATGTAGCACAGGACTTTGTGCTACATGCAACACTTATTAATATCCAGTTCTTCAGAAAACCTCTGGTTTATGAATATGGGATATTGTGCTTCTGCACCCATAATTCAGAAAGCCAGGAAACAGCCCATTGGATAGAAAATATTCCAGAAATCACTCCATGCAATTATTTTCAATTCACCTTGATACAAATAGAAAGATAAAGATTTACACAGTGACAATTATAAGATTTTAAGTAATGAAATTGGGACTAAATCACAATTAAGATACTTCAGGTTATATTTATTTGATTTTCTATACTTTTATTACTATAAATAAATGGTGTGTTTAGTAAGCTGCAGTCCAAAGTGCAGTAGAAAGAGAAACCGTTAAACTACTTCTGTGTACTTAATTGCTAGAGATAGTGAGAAGGTTGCCATACGTTAGAATCAACTTAAGGGTGCATACTTTTTTTAAAATATAGTGTTTACATTTATATTTAAATAATAAATAAATAGTCAACTAGTATGCTTTATTAGGCACAAGTTTAATATACCTTCTGTATTTCCATTATCTGACATATAGAAAATTGATCTAGAATCATTGAGGGTCCTCGTAAGTTAACCCAGAAGCAATACCAAGAGACGAGTCAACAGGATTCAGAAGATTTTTTTAAAAAGTAAAATATTAGGTGAACTGCAGGGTGAATTACTGAAGGTTGTGCTAGGGAAGAGGAAGAAACAGAGTGGGAAAGACAGGTGGCGGCAGCAGGTTGAAGGCAGCTGGGTCTTGTACTTCATTGTTCAAAGCAGATGATGTGAGAGATTTGAGAGCTAGAAAATTGATAAGGCAGTTTAGAGGAAGGATTTGAAATTCATACATGGCACCTACCTTTTATCATCTGTTGAGATGGTGGGGAGGGGAGAAATATCCTCAACATTGGGGCAAGAACCAAAAGCTAGAGGTGATACCGCATTCTGGAGTTGTGTGAAAACGTTCCTGGGCAGACATCCCAGGATGTGACGGCACAAAAGCAACAACTCAGAACCAGGGAGTTCCAAGAATAGGTTGGGTGGAGATGCTGCCCTGGACTACTCTAAAGGGACGGTTCTAAAATAACAGGACAAAAATACGGAATTGCTGGCCAGCATCTTGGCCAGGAATTTGGGGGCAGAGAAAGATGTACCTACCGAGGCTTTCCCAAATGATGCAGAAAGAAAAAGACATGAGTTCAGTGGCCCAAGACCCATTATAGTCCTAAAAACCAAACCAAACAAAAAGGTGGCAACTGAGATGGATTTTTTTCCCCAGCTCAACAAAAAGTGTTGGTGGAGAAGTGCTTTTCTGAATAGAAAGTGTAATTGATGCCAAGTGTGGATCTAGCTTGATTGCAGGTGATCACTTCTAAGTGATCAATTAATCAGTAGTGAATAGTAGCACTAAGGGCTCGAGGAAGCAGGAAACCTTGGCTTTTGTAAGTCCAAGAGCATTTTAGGCCAAGAAAAGAGGGCCAGGGTGCTTTCCTGACTATGCTAAGGAAGAGTGGCACATAGTCCTGCAGACATGACTTATCTTGGATATACTGTTCATGCTTAGTTAAAAGTTTCAGACGAGATGGGAGATTTGCAGACAGTTCTGCCAGCTCTGGTAGCAGCGACATCTCTTTTGTTTGCACAAACTATTAATTGCCATCGCCAGTAAGCGGTTTTTGCAGGTTTTATTTGTCCTCCTGTTTTTATGTTCTTGAGTCAATTTCAGTGTAGTTATTAAAATTGAATATATAATAATAACTAAAATGAAAATCAAAAGTAAACAAATGATATTTATTTTGTGAACTCATAGGTAGAAAAAAAGTCTATACTTTTATTCTCTGTAACATGTGATGCTAAAAGTCAGATATGAAAATGTTCCATGTTGCCATGTTTATAAGGCGGAGCAGTAGATAATTAAGTCATCTGATCCGTTTGCAAATTCTCAGCTGGGCTGTTTCTGTAAAAGCAGCTTTGATCTAGTAGTCCAGGTTGTTCAAGGCTTATTAAAAATGCAAAATGGAGCTTTTGCTTGCTCGAAGCAATATTCTTTGTATTATATGTGGCAACTCCAAAAGAAGGTAGATTACAATGACATCTATATTTCATTTTATTATAAGTACATTATGTTGAGCATGGTACATTTAATGTGTTATACATTTAAGCAGTGTAGTCAAGGCAGATTAATGGGAGAAAATAGCATGTTTGGAGAAAGGCAAGTAAGTAAGTAAGTAAGTAAGTAAGTAAGTAAGTAAGTAAGTAAGTAAGTAAGTAAGTAAATAAGAGTACTTCTCATCCATAAACTATGAGAAATAACTTTATGGATATGTGGGTATTATTTTTTAATTTACTGGAAGATACTAACTTCTCAGTTATGTTTTGCTTCTGTTACAGGTTGCCTTTTTGAAGATGTGAAGGAAAATTCCATTAAGTTAGCCTTTTACTACAAAGAAGTACAGGAGAGAAGACCTTACATGAGCAGGTGGCTTTTAAAGAAGTGATGCTGAACTTCCTCAGTGAAAAAAAGAAAATTATATATTGAACTTGTTGTCTGTTGACTTTGGAACTTCGAGACCATCAAGGAATGTGACAGAAGCAACTTGTTCAAGCAAAGAAACCAATAACTGTGTGACAGAAGTTGAGAGGAGAATGTAATTTAGGATGTTGGGAATCTGGGGAGGTCACTGTAAATAACACCCTACTAATTCCTCAAAGTAAGTGAATTATCTGTTGCAGCTATTTCAGCTTTGAAAAAAGGCTATGTTTCTTTCTTTGGAAAATAAAGAAAAAAATTCATTGGACTGAGCCTTGGATACTGCACTGTCTACATGGGAACATGGAGATTTTTGTAGAACTTCATGGCAGGCCCAGAGTCCCAAATAAGAAGAACCAGTAAGATTTATATGTAGCTGTTCCAACATACAGTATATTGCAAGGCAATATTGGCTAAGGGCCCATTTCAGGAAGCATATAAAGGCTTGATTTCTTACAGCTTGGTAATTAACATGAACTGACTCCAGTTTGTTGATGGGTTTTGTTGTACAGTAGGACCCCTGTATCCATGGTATCATTTTCCCAGAGTTTACACCTTGTATGTTATATAGAGAGGATTCATATATCAATGGTAGATCGTGGACCAATTCTGCATGGATAACAGGGGTCCTGCTGTAACCAGCCCTTCCACAAACAAAGCATGACAAGCCAGTCACACCCCACCATGAGAAGCCCTGATTTCTTGTTGGCTTATGCTTCAGTCTGGAAGTGCCCAGCTTGTTTCCGCAGCTGCCTACTCCGAAAAAGAAGCTGACAAAAGGGACAGGAGAAGGGAAAAAAACCAAACCAGAGGCAAAGAAAACAAACTGTGGTTTGGCCATTTTGGGATGATTTATGGCAGCCTAAAATCACCCAAAGGAAGGCTATAATTAGTGGCGATTTGCTGTTGTTAATGAGATCATTCTCCTTTGTGCACACAGAGCTGTGCAACTGGATTTCAGCAGTATTTAACAAGACACATAAACACATCATTGTCCTTAAGATTGTTTGAAAGTAGTGGAGCTGGGGCAGTGCATGGCCTGCCCTACAAGTGACAGCCACTGTAATGGCTTCAGTAATTGTTGTGGGACAAAGGACACTGAGCAAAGAGATTCATCAAGACTTTGTTATTTATAGAGTTAGCTGGTTTAAGGACGGCAGACAACAGAAGTGTTGAATCTTTATGATACACTTGAGAGTCCACCACATGTGGATGTCACTATGCCTGCCTTTTTTCTAAATCTGAGTGGGTTTCTCAGGTTTCCTTTGGACAAAGGGCTACCTGAATCTGTGTCCTTAGAAGGGTTGTCTTTTGTGTCTGAGCAAGGACACTGTATACTGCCAAATAAATTCAGTACCAGTATATCTCCTGTGGACCCTGGAAGCAATTCTGTTATCAGGTGTTGAGGTGCATGTCTGAGTTACATGTAGGTGCTAGTACACACTCAAATTGAAATATGGAATGTATTTCAAGAAAACAAAACAAAACTGAAGAGGAAAAACAGCCATCTACAAATAAAATATTTCTGCCATACATCAAAGAGGTCACGGACCGCATGGGGAAGCTTTTGAAAAAAAACACAACCTATAAACAGTATTCAGGCCCACCACAAAAATACAACAAATGTTACGGTCAGCAAAGAACAAAAGGGACCCCCTCACCACTGCAGGAGTATACTGGATATCTTGCAGTTCTGGACAGGTATATATTGGACCCACAAAACGCATCATCCACACCAGACTCAAAGAACATGAGAGATACTGCAAACTAAAACAACCGGAAAAATTGGCTGTAGCTGAACATGCCCTAAAACAAGCTGGCCATGAAATTCTATTTCAGAATACTGAAGTACTGGAGAACACCAGCAATCATTATGTTAGACTGCACAGGGAAGCCATTGAAATCCACAAACACCAGCAGAGCTTCAACAAAAAGGAAGAAAGTCTAAAACTCAACAAAGCCTGGCTCCCAGCACTGAAAAATACAGCCTGCAAAAGGTCAACAAACTACCCAGCCACAAGGACCGTGATCTCTGCACACAAAAGACCAGTTAACAACACCCATCAATCACAGTGACAGATCATCTCTCTTCCTTATCTCAAAAATACACCCACAACAAAAACACACTGATCACCATAATCGCCCAATCTCCTGAAAAAGACAAGAGCTGATCCCAAACCTATAAATACTCAACTATCCAACAAACTGCAACAGAGCACAGACAGAGTTCTGACTCCTGTCCTCTAAAGATGCTGGCCACAGAAACTGGCAAAATGTTAGGAAGAAAAACCTCAAGAACACAGCCAGACAGCCCGGAAAACCCACAACAGCCATGGAATGTATGATTGAAAAGCCATGAAACCCATGTGCAATTGACTCTTCCGAAAGTATACATGCACTTAGGGGGGGGAATTTAAAACATGCATACCTGATCTTGATCACATTTACTTCACAGTCATGCCCATTTAGTCTATGCCAATATGTCAGGATTCTGATAAACCTCATTACATTATAATGGGATTTTTTTTAAAAGCCCATCCGTATACTGGCACCTGGCACAGAATTCTGGAAACTTCTCCAAAGCTTTGACTTCATTTCAGTCCAAAAGAAAAACAAACCAGCATTCACAGCAGTTCCACTGCATGATCTGTTCAGGCTGTTTTCTCATATTACCACACTTGGCCTTTAATAGACTTTGATTTATGTGGCCCTAATAAGAGCAAAGCAGTCAAAGACCTTTATTTGAGCATTGAAAATAAAGCAGATGCAGGACAATTTATAGCATGTGTTTAGCTGGGGCAGCAGGAGGGGAAACGCCTGATGAAATACACCTCAGACTGATGAAAAGGCACTAAATTAGAGGTGCTTTAAAAACAAATAACTGACATCGTAAAGGAGAAGCTTGGGCTGTTAGGGTGGCTCATCCTTACAAATTATTAAAATCCTGTTTTGAGGCCATGATTTACAAGCATAGCTTGACTGTTACGATTTCTGCTTTTCAATTTGTGAAGAGAAATATCCTTCCCATCTTATAAATAGATCTGTAGCAGACCTGCTTTGGGTTGCTTCTGTGTACCCAGCCATAGATGTGTGATAGAGCATCCCACTAATCCACTATCATTCACGAAGCAGAAGGAGAGCTCAATAAGTTCACCAATTTTTCTCTTTTCTTGAAGGAAATAAATCACTGGTGGTGTTCTTCTTAAGACCCTCCTGGGATCAACCCCCCACCAAAAAAGGGCAATCTGTAGTTTAATGGTAAAGATAATTGTGAGGGGAAGTACTTAGCCAAACATTTATTTATGTTTCTACTATTTCACTAATAAAATAATATGAAAGGTAGCAGCAGTTACAAGGCTTTTCATAAATCTCCTCATGGGCTGACTTCTACCATTCCCATTGTTCTGACTTAGTGACAAGAAAATCTGAAGGGGTCAAAAATATTTCAAGCTGTTCCACAACTTTTGTATACATCAATTTACTGACATTTCATGGCTCCTGCCCCAAATGTGCCTTTAAGAGTATGTAATCTCATTCCTGCAGGCAGTCAACAGTCTGCAAAAGTGAATTCCTTGGTTCCCTCATTACTGTAATGATTCAGTAATGAGACGGCCAAGAAGTTAATTTTTGCAGGTTGCCAATTGCCCCTTAGGAAAGAAAGGTTTTCTAAAACAAGCTGGCCTTGAGTACATTTTGGCATTTTTGAGAAGTTTCTCCTTCATTCAGGGGTTGCATCTAGTGCCTTTTCTTTTTTGGACTCTTATTCCCTTTCACAATGGCCAGAATCCTCTTAAGTAGCTAAGCAAATAGAGTAACTTTGGGGGGCAGATTGCCCCAATATAAGAAACCACCATAGACATGTTCATTTGCATAGTGAGTTGTATGACTCCAAAAGTTATGTCACTTGTACTACACTGGTGTAACTAGAGGATGTACACTAATATGTAGTAGTGAGAACTGCAGCTTGCTCCAGCTACAGGAGCTGCAGCAAGCTTTTATGCATTTCTAGGCACATATATTGGGGAACCACTTACAAAGAGCCACACAGTAGAACTGAAAATATGGAGCACTGCAGTGTGTTCACTCTCAAAGTCTATTTTCAGTTTTTGTTGTATATTACATTCGTCTTCTTCAGGAAGTGCTCTGGGCCATCTCTCTCCTGACTTTTATTGCATGGCCATGTGCCTACAGTTCATTCAACCAAATTCCACGGTACTTACCATTTATCAACACACTCTATTTTCATTGGGATCTTGAACTGCATGTCTTGTCATTATTAGCACTAAACCTGGTTAACATTTCTTTGCAGACTGTTATATGGATAACATGCTTAATATATGTATAAATGCAGTGAGTGAGTAAAAAATAAAATAAAATTGTATTGAATACCATCATTGCAAGGGGTCAGATCGCGAGGCAGGACAGGAAATACATTTGACTCTCAGAAGTTACTCTTGAGAATTATGATAGGACTGTGCATTTTTCTGAAAAGAGAAGAGGGAAAATCCTTAATAAGTATCAGGTGTCTCCAAACTTTTGACCATGAGGGCCACACCTCACGGTTATCATTTTTGAGGAACAGGAATGTGTGTGTGCACATGTATGCATGACCGGCTGCCTGCACCTGCCCCCCCCACACACACATATACCCGCTATATCGCAGTTAGTGCTATGGAGTTCTTTAAAAATGGACGGTTGTGTCCTAAGGAACTAAGCTATCTTTTAAAAAGTATAGCTATCTCTTAAATATTTTTAGGACATATTGCAAAACTATTTCAATACTTACCTTTCCTCCTTTTAAAATGCAAACCATTCCCTGTGCTGCTCTATCTATAAATTTGTGTTAACATTTGTACCTTCATATTGTAATGTCTAATGATGTCCTTATTCCCCTTCCTTTCCCTGCCCAGTTGTTATAACCAGTGGTGCTAACCTGGATTGTTCATTCTTAAATCAAAACTGTTGGCAATTTTTAGAGGTTAAAATGACGATACTCTAAAAATATTAGGTACAAGTGAGACATAATGTTATCTGATTGAATGCTGAAGTAATATAACTAAATGGGCCAGAAAAAGAAACCTGTGCTGATGGTAATTTCTTCCTTATATGCTTTTCTCGTTTTGACAAATGTCACAGATTTTCATCGCTTTTCCCCAGAGTCTCAGTAAACTACCATACTTCTCTAGGAGCAGCTGTATCCTTGCCAATAATGGTGATTTTAATTATGGCTTTGCTTGCCTCAATCCTAGGCATAAATGAGCACTATTTAACAACTTGCTACACTGATACCAAATCTGGCACCTGATATAGTTAGAACCTATGCCTTG